GGGCATTTTCTTGAAGCATTCACTAATTTCACAAGCAAAGATCGACATAATTTCATGATTTTTTATTATGTTACTTTAAACGTTGTTCGCCTCCTTTCTCTTGCAACAGCCGAAGTTTTTCCTTACCTTCCTCAAGGATTTAAAATTTTCTGCCGCAGATCTGTAACCATACATGGTTATCCTTGACAATAAGAAATATTTGTAATGTACAGCCCAGGAAAAGCAATGCCATTTTTCGTTTTAATCTAACTCTTGACGGAATATATAATCAAACCAATTGGCATCTCCCATATGGCAAGACTGTTTCCATTCCATACTTTCTTCTTTTCAAAAATGTTAAAATGGATGTTTTATATAGACAAAGTTGGAAGAAATGATCAAGGCTAGGATCTTTGGTGTGACCATTTATGTTTAGAGCATAAACTGATCAGTTAGTAATCATTGAAGAAATTGATTGCCTGGTTTCTCCCATTGCAGAGGTGATCGAATCACTATAATGGACAAAGCAATGTTGTCGCAAACACAGGTAATATGTCGGAATCACAATGGGTCTATTATGAATGTCAATGCAAAGAAAAGTTTTAAAAAAATACAAAATGACTGTGTTCGTGTGTAATTTGATGAGCTGCGTAGGATGTTTTCGCTCGAAGACTTTAATGTAATATTAACGAATCTTAAACAACGTAACAGTTTGCAGATTTCGTCGATTTAGGTCTTAAGAAATAACACATTCGTATGACGTTATGGCCTAATTAAATATTTGAATTGAAATATTTGCAACATATTCCTTTTCACAACGCAGCAACATAGACGTACTATGCCAAGATGGAACAGCAGTTTTGTAGCAAAATAAGCAAAATGCCATAAACACACTGGTTCTTACCAACTAATTGTATTGCGAAAAATAGCGATACGGCGAAGATGGAGTAAATTGCAAAGTACTTCTTGGAATGACGTTTGATGACTAATACAAATTCATATTGCAATATTTTCCTTGGCAAATGAGCATGAATTGTGGTGTAGGGCCACTATGATCCATAGCTCTTTTCCCATACAACAACTGTAATTTTGTCTCCGTTAGCATACCCTTTCAAATCACTTGTTCATTGCCTACCATCTCATCAAATTAATATATTTAGCTGATCTTGCAATAATTTAGAAGCTTATTTGATGTGTGTTATATAATTTTATGTATCGTTTCGTGGTTTTCTGTTTTCATTGGCAGACGGCTGCCCTGGGATGGTTTTCTGTTTATATACGTTTCTCGTTCCTAAACAAAAATCAGGCCTCTCATCTTCAGAGAACTAACCCAGGACTATGATTTTTGTGTGCTAAATGCAAACTAAACCCATGTCGCCTCAGGTTAACAACCCCTCTTGGAAGGTGGTTCACCCTAGGTCGAAAACCTTGGTTTAGTTTTAAAAAAACCTGGGCTGAACCTGGGTGTAGTTACTTCTATGAGCTGCAGTGTGTAACGTAACAGAAATCGGCGCGAAGCAAATACAACCCGCAAATCGTGAATCTAGTTTTCCCATTGCAACAATGCCCGCGCTTATAACCTTTTTTCAATAAAATATTGGCGTTGATTTATGTATTCTTATAAATGTTACACAAAATTAAAGCACGTATGACGTCCCATTTGCTTATCAACACCTCTCTTCATTTTCTGTGTTACGCGTGCGTTGCTTATCAAAAACTACCAAGTTCGCCTCTGATTTTTCCGTTTAATTACACCCAAAAATTAGCACAGTTCAGGCCGATTATTCGTTACTTAAAATCCTACGGGCGAACCCTGGTTGCCACATTTGTGATGAGGCAGCAGACTATAACCCTATTAGATCTTGTATAGTAATTAAACAGCGCTTAACGCTCATTTTTGTCTCTTTTATAAGACGTCAGTATTTGCTGCTCATCTATCATCACATTGTTTCACAAAAATCCAATAAAATTACATTTGCAAAAGTTGCCCATCAGGATGTCATTGATTGAGATAAATTTGTTGCTAAGCAAGAAAGGGTTCAAATCATTTTTACTTAAACAGTTCAAACAGGAAATAATCGAAAAATCGATGACATTTGCTCATGGCGAATATAAAAATGAAGGCAACGAAGCTTGTATATGCATGTATACTATGGGAAAAATTGAAAATTGTTCTTGATGCTGTAAATGAGACAAATTAAACATGTGCCTGTACTAGCATGACGATGATTTGAGAATCTTTTCTAAAGTTCCTAATTTAATATATAAAATTTGAATAAGATACATTGACAAATCAGTACTTCTCTAATTAACAGTACTTTCAATAAAGCATCTCCAGAAAACACCTCTCAAAAATACTCTAAATGAATGTTCTTCCCACTCAATAGAATGTCTAGACAGTTTTATGACAGTTAAACTTCATTTTGACTGATATTATTCGAGTATAGAACAGGATTCAATTTCTAGTGAAAATAGTTTTTCGATCATGTGTCACAAATCACTGCTCTCAAGCAGGCTTAAGATTGTTCTGAAACTTATGGAAAAAGCAATTACATGTCATGTTGACATTCTTTAATCTAAAGACTTTATTCATTTCGATATTCATATCACTCATCATCTCGCCATTATGCAATAGCTGCCGATGGTCTCCAACAAAGACTCCACTTTGTGGCTATCTTGGGCCTCTTTCACCTACTTCTTTCCTACTTCTACTAATGTCGTCCCTCCATCTGCGATTCTGCCTTCCTCGTGTTCTATATTGTCTTATCCATCGGCGTGCATTCAGTTTGTATTTTTCAGCCATTCTGTCTGGTTCATTGTGGTAAGGTGCCCATCCCATTACCTTTGTCTCTTTTAACTTTCTCAAGTATGTCTACAAACTTTGTGTTTTTGTTCCTTATAACTTCGTTATTGATTTTATCCTTCCTATGTTTCCCTCATTCATTCTCTCTCCAGGCTCCTTGGGACTACAGCCATCTTATTTACCTGGATTGGTCAGACCATGGTTTCGCCTCCACTATGTCATTGCTTTTTTAATCATGACACTGCCATATTTATACCATCATGTGATATTATT